TTCTTATATGGAAACTTATTTCAATATTCCTTATTTTTAATTCCGAATATCTGCTATTTTTAAATCGTATTTCTACTTGGACTCTCCTTTTCTTTTCTAATTTTGGATTTTATTTTATTTTTATTTCGAATTTTGATTAATTTCGTATTGGGTTCTTATATGGAAACTTCTTTCAATATTGCTTATTTTTAATTCCGAATTTCAGCTATTTTTATATTGTACTTCTACTTGGACTCTACTTTTTTTTTCTTTTTCTCCGATTAATGTGGGAATTTTTAGCCCCACAACGAACGTAGTGTCTCCTTTCAAAGCTGTTTTAATAATATAATAGATAGATAGATAGGCCTATGTGTCAGCCTGTCAGGTACTCTACTGCTTGTTTGCATGTCGGCACTTAAATTACCATATCTTGATCATGCCCCTTATGGTGCAATATATGAAGTTTCTTAAGGCGATCTGTTCTGTTTGGTGCCAGAAAAAGGGTAAAAAATATGTAACTTTTTTATATATTAGACTCTGGACAATTATATCAGTTGGCAGTTATTGATGTTCTGAAGCTGAATATGCAATTTTTGTTTTACCCAAAATTTTCATAATCCTTCTGGCAGATAGTGTACTGTAGGATCGCTTGAATGAATTTTGGATACATAGTGTACTGTAGGATCGCTTGAATGAATTTTGGATACATGTTGTCTCATGAATCATTCGTTCAAATGAATACCTTTTTCACAGGGAGCATCAACGTTGTATGGTCCCCACACCTTGAGTGCCTATATCCAAGAATTTCAGAAACTTGCTATGGCCATGATTGCAAACAAAGAGGTCCCAACAAATTTCCAACCTCCTGATATGTTGGACAAGCAAATTGGACTACTTCCTGGTGTTGTTTTTGACTCAACTCCTCTTGGTGTCAAGTTTGGGGATGTCAACTCGGATGTTCCTGGTAACTCAACATTCAACAAGGGTAGTACTGTGAATGCTACATTTTATTCAGCATGCCCAAGGAATGACCTTCTTACGGATGGTACCTTTGCACTCGTCGAGAAGCTAGATGGTAACAATAATTGGGTTCCTGTCTACGATGATGATGATTGGTCATTGCGTTTCAAGTGGTCAAGGCCCGCAAGATTGAGTTCAAGAAGTTTTGCAACTCTAGAGTGGACAGTTCCTGAAGACGCTGCTGCTGGTGTTTACAGATTGAGGCATTTTGGTGCCTCCAAACCAATGTTTGGTTCGGTCAGGCATTTTACAGGAACCTCTCGTGCTTTCGCGGTGCGTTAGTTGATACGCCTTGAGCTTTTTATGGCTTATGAAGGTTTACAGCACCAACTTCATACATGGAAACCCTGCCATTATATCCATAGGGCTTATCTGCTTCTTATTTACTTGTATTTGAGGGTAATAACACTGTTCAATCTTATGGAAGTGTGAAACTGCTGTCCCAGTGCATGAACTAAGAATGGGAAATATACAGAATGTACATAGGTGCTCTTTTTATGTAAACATGCATGCTTCTTGTGATTTCCCGTGGGATTTTGGCCAAGAGATCTTGCATCCATTGATCTTCCTTTCTATACGCATCCCCGATCTGTTGTGGATTGATATATGCATGGTTTTTATAGAACATCCTTAAACTGATACAGATCTACTTTATCAGAGGGAGTTACAATTGGCGGTGATTGAGTGCAATTTTTTTTACACTGACTTCATACATGGAAACCCTGCCATTATATCCATAGGGCTTATCTGGTTCTTATTTACATGTAATTGAGGGTAATAACACTGTTCAATCTTATGAAAGTGTGAAACTGCTGTCCCAGTGCATGAACTAAGAATGGGAAATATACATATATTTCTCTGAACTGAACTCTGTCTAATCATCAGAACGGTCCGTGCAAAGTTGTGCGTGGAGCTGCACACGGCACAGGTCTACAGATTGGATGGGCTCATGAAAGCTTTCGTTACGGGCTATGGGCCATTTACTTGGGGCCTGTTTACAGATCCCTGACAAGTTTTTTTACCTTGTCAATCGAATGTATCATCGAATGTTTGATACATGCATGAAGTATTAAATATAGAAAAAAAAACTAATTACATAGACTGTGTGTAAATTGCGAGACGAATCTTTTAAGCCTAATTGCTTCATGATTTAACAATGTGGTGCTACAGTAAACATTTGCTAATAACGGATTTATTAGGTTTAATAATAAATTTGTCTAGGCGGATTCTCCAATTTGTTTTGTTATTAGACTATGTTTAATACTTTAAATGTATGTCCATATATCCGATGTGACACGATAAAAATTTTTACCCCTAGATTTAAACACAGCCTTTATGAATTATCGTCTTGACAAACTTCATCTCCGTGAAGCCTAGCATACCTTTATCATTTCACACTCGAAGAGGCGGCAAGCCAGCAAACTAGCAATGCACTGATGTCAACGAACTATGTCAAAAAGGAATACGAAGACATTTTTTTTATGAGAAAGGAGATGTGTTGGTAGGACTAAAAATGAAATCATATTCCATCCTTTCAGTTCTAAACAAGACTAATTCAGCATGGTCCACTGGAACGGCAATCATTCTTCATTATGCAACGACTAAGAGCAGGTACAATAGCAGGCTATAAGCCAGCTACAAACATATTTTAAGCAGATAAATGAGGAGATAAAAGGGCAGCGGGTTACAGATTTGTAGCCAGCTGTAGCATAGACTCTAAGACACAGTGTGTATGACAGGTGGGACCAGATATTAATAGTGTAGTATGTAACTATTGTATGAATGAGCTATTAAATTGGCTATAGATAAATTGGAGCTAGTAGTTGACTATACTATTAAACTTGCTCTAAACAAGATGTAAGTACAAATTTCCCAGAGCCTTCGTGTTATCCTTTACTAGGATCATTTGACTAGCAATGCCATCCTACACTTCTGTCTAGCGAGGAAACCGTATCTTACACAACCAAAAAAATTCATACAATACAATTTTATGGTCGGTAACTCGGTAATGCATCGGCTGTGACCAACTGACCAACATTCAAGGAATTTGAGTCCAGCAGTTGACCCCTTGCAAAGGACAAAAACTATAGCACTGTAAAGCGTTCATGTTTACCTATTGAAAGAGTAAAGAGTAGCCTCTGCCAAAGGAACCATGGAAAAAAAATTAGAAGACACTTTGGGAAAGCAAAAGCATAAAAAAGAAAAGAACTAAAAAATATGTTCCTTTTCCTAGGCCGAAGGTGAAATGCTGCTTCTTGTTCTTCCATGTGGAGAGCATATGTACGGTTGCTGCCTTTGCAAGCCATACAGTGTAGGAAGGCGCCATGTAATCTCACTCCAAAGAACCTGTGTGCAATTTCTTGGCATTGGGAATACTAGATCCCCTTATCATCTCGGTCCCATCCTTGTCCGTGATTTAGAGGCACGTTTGATACCCTAGAACCACGAAACCGAATAGTGATGTTCTTGCCCGATGTGACATGTGTTCATGCACCTCTGGACCCTCAAAACATGAACAGAAAACGTAGAACCCAAACAGTTCGTTATCTAAAAAAAGAACCCGAATAGTTCAGGCAACAGCAAGAGGCATATCCAAGGAGGCTGCTTGTTGTTCTGCAACAAGGTGAAGAGGTGATAGATCTCCCTCTAATTAAAATCTCTCTAAACCATCGTGTCTTACGGCTCCTGTCGAGAACGAGCAAAACGGGATTCATGCATCCAAATCCAAAGGTAGCAAACGTGGTGCAGTCTCATAATTAAGCTAGATATTCACAATCTGAAGAACTCATAGTTTTTTCATGGGAAAGATGTGTGTTGCTATGATCCAAAGCAGTACGAGTACTACTACTAAACTACTAAAACAAACCATTTCCCGTTGCTGCTCAAATAGCGCACGATTGTGAATGAGTGTCCGTAGTAGCAATCTCAGTTGCATATGCCATTTGCCATGATAGCCCAACTCTATGCTCACTAGGAAGACTGAATCGATTGCCTTGCCCCAACTCTACTGAAGTTCAGACTACTACTGCTATGCACAAGCACAATGAAGGCCCTATCTATCTACCGCAAACGAAGCATCTCTCCCCTCCTCTCCAAGCAGTCAAGATCCGCGAAATCCTGCACATCGCGTTTCATCATTGCACCCGCAAGTTTCTGCAGAGAGGGGGATGCAGTTTTGTCATCAGTACAAAGGCCAGCCAAGAACAAAAGAAGCCTCCTTTCGCAGAATATAAGATTAGAGACAATTTTTTTTCCATTGGGCATCATGGCCATGGCCCCCACATTAGATGCACGCTAGGCCTCCTCGGATTCGCTGCTAATGCTGACGACGACGATGCACGGCGTAACTCACGTTATCAGCGTAGCTTTTGCCAAGCTTTTGCGTTAGTTATGCCATGGCTTTCCTAACCCGAACGAGATTAAAGTCCTAAAGCCAAGCAAAGGTCAGACTAAACAATGCTCTATCTCTCTCTGGGCGTCGTCAAAGCTTTGGGCCATTCTCGTGGCCTTTTTTTCTCACCTTTGCTGCCTCGCACACAGGTGAACTCAGATGAGAAGGTACTGAAGGTGATGGGAGGGGCGGTAACTAGCAGTAGTGTGGTTGCACAGTAAACTGGTAGTGGTAAAACGGGAGGAACAGCAGCGGCAGAGCAGCAAAAGAAGAGGGGGAAGGGGAAAAAGAAGAGGAAAGAGAAAGGCTGCAGCGAGTTGCCGTGGAACGGCAGTGCGTGCTGGGGATAAACAAAGCCGAAAGAAATGGGCTCTCGCGGCGCGGCTCGAGAGGAGCGAATCATGCGCAGATCTTTGTCCCGCCCAAATGCCCACCCACCCCCACACAGCCCACAAATCGTACGTATCGTCTCTCGCCACCGTCCTGATCATGGCCGCCCCTGCTTCCTCCTAAACACATCTTGCAAAGCTACATTTTGGTGTATCGTATCATGTTTCTGAGATAACTGGTCATGTTCTGAGAAAACGGGCATGTGGGACACGGTTCGATCGAGTCAGAGAGAAGAATGCAGTGGATTTCAAGTGCCTAATTACAGGTCGTGTTGCGAGTAACAAAATATGAAAAAGAGGAGTAACAACAAGTGACATACAGAGCTGACAACTCCACGCTTGTACGTGAGGAGGGGAGTGGCTAAAGGAGCCTAAAAGGAGCTCTTTCCCCGCGCCTAAAACTACACAAAAGAACGAACTCAACTCACTCACTCGCACCAAAGAAGAAGAAAGGTTAATAAAAGAGAATTCTCTCGCTCGCTGAACCACCGCGTTTTCTTTTCTTGAGGCTTTTAACAAGCAATTCGTACTTGAAGGTTCCCTCGTCTTCTTCTTTTTTTTCTTCATCTCGCCTTCCTCCGCGAAATTCAGCGCGAAGCTTCTTCGGAGGCCTCTGCTTCGTCGAGAGAATTCGAAGCCGATTGGTACAGCTAGCTTCGTGGATCGCTCCGTGACCGCAGCAATGGCGAGTCGAACTCTGACATGGACGCTGCACGACGCAAGTGAATGAACACGGGGCGTCAGGATTCAGTGCACTTCGAGACGAGATCACGAAATGGAGGATCACAAGTGACAATGTGGCGCGGGGCGCGTACCACGGTGGAGCGACTCCTTGCAGTGCGCGATGGCGCTCGCGATGCCGTCCTGCTGCTCGAGGAGCGAGTCGTCGCGGCGAGGCGGCGGCGACTGGCACGCCGCCGTCTGCGCCGCGGACGCCGACCGGCTCTTCCGTAGCCGGAGGTCCGCGCCGGCGCTGGGGGCTACCCGGCGCAGTTGCCTCGAGATCTTGCTGAGGTACCGCCTGATCACGTCCCGCGAGGGCGTCCTCCTGTTGGCCTCGTCCCCCTGGTCCGGCGAGCCGTAGCCGAACGCGGCGAAGAGCCTGGCCGAGCGCGCGCTGTTGGAGCTCCTGGAGAAGCTGGCGCGGCCGCCGTAGAACGCGGCCTTGGCGGACCCGAAGCTGAGCGTGCGCAGCTTGCCGCGCCTGCCGGAGCCGTACCGCGAGGCGGCGTCGCTCGGCTCGGACGCGCAGAACTTGAGGTGCGCGGGCGCCGCCGCCGCCGCGCGCGCCCACCCACTACCGCCGCCAACGTAGAAGACCCGCTCCTCGTACGACGGCGACGCGGAGCGGCTCCGCTGCAGCGAGATGACGAAGTCTGACTCGCCGGCGCACGACGAGTAGTCCTCCGACTCGGACCCCGACTCGGCGCTCGACGCGGGCGCCGAGGCCGAGCAGCACGACAGGTCGAGGTCAAAGAACGGGCCCTCGTCCTCGCCATACCAGCCGCCGCCACCGCATGGCGTGGCCGGCGCCGTCGCCGTGATCGTGGACACCGCGCGGCGCCGGAACCGCCGCGCCGCGAGCAGCCGTAGGACCTTCATGTGCGCAGCTGCTGGTGTTCGGGACGGTGGTGCTCGTCAGGTCGGTGTTATTAGTGGGAGATGTGGAGGGGTAGTGGTGTTGGTGGGGGGAGGCAGGAGGCGGGGCGGTGGCTCGCTTTTAAACGGGAGCGGCAAAGGCCGCAGCGGCGGTGGAGGACGTGCGCGAGATTTAAGAAAGGCCCTACTGGGTTTTCTTGGGGAGTTTTTCCATGTTTCGGCGGTGTTTGCGGTGCGAAGTGTTGAAGCCGATGGCATCCGCGGCGTTTCGCGGTTTCGCCAGGCAACTTGGGTTGGGTGGCTCGGCGCGGTGTGGGTCGCGTCGCGTGGCGTGGCGTGGCGCGGCCGTTGCGTTGCCGTGGTTGTTGGCGTGCGCCGCACGGGCCGTGGATGGCAAGGGGAGCGTGCGTGCGCGCGCGCGGCGCGGTGCGTGGCAGTAGCGGCCAGTTTCGAGCGCGATGCCGCTCGGCTCCGTGGTGTCGCCGGCGTGCGTGCGTGCGGGCGCGCTGTTGCCCTGAAATCTGTGAATTAGTGGTAGTATCGGTGGGTAGGTTTCGTCAAGAATTCCGGATTTTTACTTTTGTCTCTTGCTTACCAACCCGATATCCAGAAGGATGGCTACCCCGTACCATTTTCGCGTTGTTAATGACGTTGTTGTGCCTAGTGTCTATGTAAAGTATAGTGAGCGCTAACAACTTATTACCAACAAATTAAGCAGAGTGAATAATACTTCTATGTACTACTAGTATCTTCGTGCACGTGTCCAATCAGTCACGGGCGCTCTCCTGTCAACATTTCTGAGCTTCTCTCGCACAAGATGAATTTTCCTTTTCAGAGAACAGCTGATGGTTATAACTCATCACTTCATGATCGATACTAATGACTAATGTCAACTACTCTCCCGTACAAATGAAAACAGCATATTACCCTCTCCAGGGGCACTTACATACTGTCATGCTGACAATCATGGTGCCCAGCCCCTGGGACTATTCGATGAACACCAAGCCTGGGAAAAGAAACATGAAATCAGGAATCATTCATTCCTGAGCCAAAAAAATTTCATGGCCTCACTAACAGAAGCTTCACAAAAGTCTGCAAAAACCATCCACTAGCTAGCTTTGCTTTCAAAGAGACTGTGGAGTGTGGGCAGCAAAGGAAGGGAGCTGCCAGATGGGAACTGACGGCTGTGAACAACAGCGTCGCTCAAGTGCAATGCAGTGCAGCGCCGTTGCAGCTAGTAGCTGCAGCAGAGGCAGCAGCAGCACTCGATGAGTCCAACTCCATGGCGCGAGCTTTCACTGTTTTCACAGCCTTTTTCACCGGTGGTCTTCGTCTTCTACTCTTCCCTCTCCTCGTCTGGTCCAACCCATCTACAGTAGTTTCAGGTCAAAAACCGCCATTATTCGGCTTGACCGGACCAGTCTTGAGAATGGCCTGCACTTGTCATATGTGACGAATAGATTCTGTAAACTGTTACCATAGTGTACTATATACTGGAGTTGCAGTACATTTATACTGTTATCTGAAAATGCTTTTGCCAGATTTGTTTAAGCTCTACCATTCCGTGTTAATGGCCGCTACATTTGCCGTTTTCTCAAGAAAGATGTGACGTGATGGATCATGGACGATGACTTTCAGAGCTAGATTTTGGCACCCTGTGCCAGGTAGGTCAGGTCAGGAGACCTGCCCGTGCGAGAACACATGTCGCCATTCGAAATAGAAGCAGCAGAGTTATAATCAGTGAAGTGTGATTACAAGAAAAATAATCCAAAATGGATCCAATGGTGTGCATGTGCTTGACTAACTAGTCTCATCATCGATTCAGAGCATAAAAGGCTTAAAGCGTCTTACCCTTTCTTTCCTGCAGATCTCGAACAAGTGTTTGCCCGTCTGTCCATGAGAGTTCAGAGAATGCGTCGGCGAGACTACCACAAAAGTTTGAACAGAGTTTCATAAATTTCTGTTTCTTAAAGCCAAGTACTGCAGGAACAGCAGCGCCAACGGCATGTACCACGTCTGAATTCTGATGGATCATTTCCCTGGACTGCAAAGCAGAGCAATAAATACTAGATCAAAGGACCAAGTTCAGATGAAATATTGATGGTTCAAAAGCTCGTCATCCACAGTCCACCAAAAGGTTCTTACATGGTGAATGGGTGATACTAGCAGTAAATCCCGTCATTCATACTGTGTAACATTAGTGCCTGAATTCCTGCCAATCCTGTTTTGAATGTGAAAGGAAAAACGTGAGGAACTGAAAAGGGGTTTGTCTATGGCTATTTGCAGAGTGAAGTCCAGAAGAAAATTTCAACGCAAGGAGTTCACATAACACAGAAAATAAACATACAACATCAATGTTTTCTTAACATATCAGAGTAACGATTCAAATGATTGCATGTATACGATGTTTTACCAAGGAAAAGTTTTACTTTGGCCCTAATTGGAAATTGGAAATTGCATGTATACGATTACAGATAAAGTATGTCCTTTATAATTTAACCTTACATCTATCCTCTACAAAACTACCCAAACTATTGCAGTCTACTACTCACATAGAATGTGTGCTTAATTCCGGGAAGCTGCATCCGGAAGTTTTGCTTCGACGAGTCAAGGTCATCCTGCGATCGCCTGACTGAACCTGTTCAGTCAAAGGCAACGATAATGGCAAGTGACAATATTGCGGGTCCTGCTCCAAACGGTGACCATCGTACAAGGATCCTAAGTTCCTACCACCTCCCGAACCAGAGAAGAAAGAAACGTCTTCACAATCCCATGAAGCCATGAACTACTACTGCTGACTACTGTATCCGTTGGACCCGCAGAATAGTTGGGATTAAGCAACTCCAACAATTGTTATCTTATGTATTTTGGAGCTGGACTTAGTGCTCTTGCTGACGTTGGCCAGTCCACACGAAGGGCAAAATTTCGGTTTATGAGTCTTGCAATCCAGTCAGACGCGTGCTGTACTGGTGTTGTATTTGTGCACTGAAGTCTACAAGTCAGTGGACAACTGAACAGGGTTTCAGTTCAGTAGACTGGCCAGTACAGGCTTTGAGGTTTCAGCATCACGACGTCTTCGGGTTCATGTATCTTCTTCGCTACAGAATTTATCATTTTCGCTTGTGGATTTATCCACCATTGGATTCCATATTCCAACTTTCGCTGTGTTTAGTTCTTGAAATTGGGAAAAAGTTTGGGGAAAGTTGGTAGTTTGGAAAAAAAGTTAGTAGTTTATGTGAGTATGCAAGTTTTAGATGTGATGTGATGTAATGGAAAGTTGGGAGTTTGGGGGAAGTTTGGTGTCAACTAAACATGACCTCATTAACTTCAGTACTTCAGTTCTGATTCCATGACGGCCCTCGGAGTTTGATCAGGTTGGGCGCCAAGGGGAAAGGTCCCCTGTTTGTTAGATATCTTGAGGTCCAACCGCGAGTGTTGGGCTTATGTACACTTTTCTGCGGCCCTGTATAAAAAGCCCATAATGGACACACTCGTTGCACGCCAGGAATAAGTTCACCTGCCGTCCCTCAACTTTACACCGAGTTTGTTTGACATCCCTAATCCTTAATACCAGAAATCGTCATCCGTAAATCCTAGTCAGCAAAAAAATGTATATGGGACCCACATGTCAGCCACCCTCTTATTCCTTATCTTTTCTTCCCAGACCTTCCGTTCGCCGGCCGCTCAAGTGGGCCAGTAGCAACGGCCACCCGGCGCTATCTGCTGCCGCTGTTGGTGCCCCCGGGAGCTGCCCCGACTCCGACCTCAGCGACTCTAGCCACCACAGTCTCCCCTCCAACAAGCCATCCTCGCCTCCACACCACCACCTCTCCCTCCCTCAATTTGTCTATCACCCGGTCGCAAGGGCCGGCGGGGTTGTCGACCCTCCTCCTCCTGCTCTTCTGGTGACGTCCCTCTCCATTCCCGTCTATGCCGCGCGTGATGCGCCTCCCACCACCGCGTGTCTCCGCCATGGAGGGACCTTTCCACAGCAACCTCTTCGGAGGTCGACCACAATGCCGCCGCCTCCGCCACGGCGTCCACCAAGGCCCCCACGCCACAGGAGCAGAGGTGGAGGGCAAGGGACGCCAAGCTGTCCGTGCTCGCGTCGGCCACCCGCCCTGTGACCGCCCGAGCCGCCGTGTTCTAGGGGCCGTCGGACGTGTCGTCGGCGGCGGGGTGCGGCGTTGTGTTCTTGCCCACGTGCGGCTGCGACTCGGTGGCAACCGGCTCGCAGGCCTCCTCTTCCCCCTCTCCCGCCAGCGCAGCCTGCCGCCTTGAGGGGCTTCATCAACATCCTCATCTTGCCGCCGCACTCGCGGCACCCATGCTTCCCCGACCATGATGCCACCACCTCCGCCACGGCGTTCGCCGAGGCCCCTGCGCCATAGGAGCAGAGGCGGAGGGCGAGTCCTCGGACGCGTCATCGGCGGCGGAGGGCTGTGACTCGGCGGCAAAAGGCTTGCCGTCCTCCTCTTTCGCCCTCTCCCGCTGGCATGGCCGGGCGCTGTGGTCTCCTCCTCCGCGGCAGCGGCGGGGGCCTCCTCCCCCGTGGCAACTGCAGGAGGACTCCGCCTCCCCCATCCGCCGCCGGCCGAGAACAGAAGCAAGGAGAGAAGAAAAGGAGAAGAAAGAAAAAAAAAAGAATAGACTTGGGGCCCACATCATTTTCTCTCACTTACATGTGAGTCCCACATACTTTTTTTTTTCTGACTAGGATGCCACATCAGCGAAACCAGACATCTAGACCTAAATTGCATGGTTTTGTATAGTTTAGTGGTGAAGATTTCTCATATTGTGAATTAGGGATATCAAACTAACTCGGTGTAAAATTGAGGGACGGCAAGTGAACTTATTCAGTGCACGCAACTGTATAAAAGCCCATAAGTTGCATCTTTTCGTTGGGCTATTATTTTTGCTCACTGCTGCAAAGTGCCACTATTTTGGTGTGGTAGCAACAAGTTTTACCACTCCACAAGTCCACAGTTCAAAACGGTAACTCTGATTGTTCAGTAGTGTTCTTTGCTCTAACATCTTTCTTTTTCCAACCAGTCTACCGATAGCGGATTTTAAGCTCTCAAAGTAACGTTTTTCGTTGTTTGTATATCACTTAAATAGTTATAAAAAAATTTAAAAATAAATTAGAGTAAATTGCACCCACGGTGTATCAATTGTCAGGTGGGTGTGCAATTTGATGCAATAACTTGAGAAATAAGCGTTCTAATGTAATAACTTGGCACGTATGTGCAATTTAGTATAAGAGTTTTTATAAGTGATCGCATAAAATACAGCAACTTGCAAGATATGTGCAAATTTGATATAATAAATTAAGAAGTTATGCGACAACTTAATTATTTGGAGCACTTTTTTTTATACATATTCAATTTTTAAGTACTTATTTTGACGATATACTTGTGGATTTGTATAAGCACATTCATATTTTTTATCCTCATAACTAATGACTAAAAGTGAATTAAACATCTAATTATTATAGTTCGGTTGAGATTTAGAAAGGTGAAGGAAACAGAAATTCTTAAAGGTAATTAGATGTGCGGTATAATTCTTAAAGATTAAATTCAATATGATAAAGTAATATCCGTAGGATTGCTATGTAATGGCATATTGACATCGTAAAGAAAACTCACATAGCATATGTTTAGCCAAGTTGATGCACAAAAATACTAAATTGTCAAGTTTTTGTACTAGAACGCATCCATTTGTCAAGTTGTTGCACTCGGACGTTCAAGTCTCAAGTTCTTGCACTTTATCGCACCCACATGCCAAGTTGTTATATGGTGGGTGTAATTTACACAATAAATTAAGATGTATTAACATGTGATATATTACTATACCAACATCTAACTTAAAATTCAATTTCTACATATTAAAAAAATAAATTTGACTATTAATATACGTTAACTAATTGTTATTTAATTTATTTTTTTCGTTACAACATGTAGAAGTTGAATTTTAAGTTGCATGTTTGTGAAGATATATCACATATCAGTACGCCTACTTAATGTTTTTTCAAATTTTTTCATAATTGTTTAAGTGATATACAAACAACAAGCGAATATCCCCTCGAGAATTTAGAATAATTTCCCCCAGTCTACCCTCAATCCCATCTCCCCTATATTCTTCCCCAATCCGGGCGACTGAGCTCAGAGGCAGTTGCACATCACTACGTCACCTCCCAAAATGATCCTAGTAATTTCCTAATCCATTTGGCTATTGGTGCGGCCGCCTAGTCCTGCAGTTTTATTAGGAATAGCAATTCCGTTTATTAAACTCCCCCGCACGAGTGACGAGATGCCGCTGCGCCTTGCTTCTCCGTGAAACAACCCCCGGCATGACTCCCCAGCGATACGTCCACACACACATACCACAAGTAGAGTTCCAAACTTGCCATATTTCCCGGTTGCTGATCATCAATCATCACTTCATCAGCGCATACGTCCGGGACGTGGATGGGAATTTGAAGCTTCGCTACATTCCACCCTGTTTCTCGCCTCTTGTCCCCTGCATCAACGCGACGACACGCCCAAATCTCTATCTGCTAACGCGATGCTACTCCTCCCGTTCTCCTGAACTCATCAGGCCAGGGCCAGCCACGCATGTGAGTTGCAGCCGCCAGTCAAGCCCAGGTTTCGGCTGCACTGCATGGATCGAGCCCGACTGCCGCAAGCAATCTCCTGACCAACACTACCACATGCCGACTTCGCCGCAAACCGCCCCGGCTAGCTAGTAGTAACATGGTGTCACGTTCGCGATGGGAGCTAGTGGCTGCGACTTTGGACTTCGTTACTGCAATCTCGCCAGGATTCTGGGGAAATCCGTTACGTGACAGTTGACACGCACCGCAACCTAGCACGCACAGTTCACATTCAGTTGCACCTCGAGCTCTATAAATGGCGTGATGCAGCGAAGCGAAATATGTCAGTAGCTAGCAGCGATCCGATAAGTGATAATTTAGTGGTGTTTTCACGCATGGCTCGGTGCAGCGTCTCCCGTGTTGTCTTGTTGCTCTTGTGTTGCATGCATCTGTCGGCTGCAGCTGCAGGAGCAGCAGTGTACAACGTCGAGAGTTACGACGCGAGACCTGACGGCCGGACGGACGCGTCCAGGGCATTGGCGTCCGCCTGGTCCGCCGCATGCCGGTCGCCGGAGCCGGCCACCGTGTACGTGCCAGACGGCGAGTTCTTTGTCAGCCACTCGGCCTTCGCTGGCCCGTGTTCCGGCGGCAGGATGACGGTCCAGATCGACGGCACGCTGGTCGCACCGTCCGGTTACACCGGCAGTGCCAGCTCTGGCGGGGAGTGGATTGTGTTCGACCACGTCGACGGCCTCACCGTGTCCGGCGGCACCCTCGACGGCCGCGGTGAGTCGCTGTGGGCGTGCAAGGCGGCCGGCCACGGCGGCTGCCCGGACGGCGCAACAGTACGTACATACTACAGCGCACAGTGTACTGATGAGCTTAATTGCAGGGAAACTTAAAAAACATTTTTGTGTTAAACCGACGTGTGTTGATGTCGACGTGGTGCGTGGCGTGCAGTCGATGAAGGTGCTGAACTCGAGGGACGTGGTGATAAGCGGGGTCAAGTCGGTGAACAGCGAGCTGTACCACGTCGTGATCGACGGGTGCGAGGGCGTGGCGGTGCAGGACGCCCGGATCGTGGCGCCCGGGAGCAGCCCCAACACGGACGGCATCCACGTGCAGTCGTCGTCCGCGGTCACCATCACCGGCGCCAGCATCCAGACCGGCGACGACTGCATCTCCGTCGGCCCCGGCACCTCCAACCTCCGCGTCGAGCACGTCAGCTGCGGCCCCGGCCACGGCATAAGCATCGGGAGCCTGGGGAAGGAGAGCGAGGAGGGCGGGGTGGAGAACGTGACGGTGAGCGGCGCGGCGTTCGTGGGCACGGAGAACGGGCTGCGGATCAAGACGTGGGGGCGGGCGGCGCGCTCGGGGGCGTACGTGCGCGGCGTCGTCTTCGAGCACGCGCTCATGCGCGACGTGAGCAACCCCATCATCATCGACCAGAGCTACTGCCCCAACGACGGCGGCCAAGGCTGCCCCCATCAGGTACCGTACGCGCCGCCGCCAACACATCGTATCCCATCGCCGTCGTGTCTAATGAGGAGGTGTTTAGATAGGGGTGTAAAGTTTTAATGTGTCACATCAGGTATTATATAGAATGTCACATCTGAGTAGTACCCCAAGGTCCTGGGTTCAAATCTCTTATGGAGCGAATTTCAGATTGGGTTGTTTGCGGGGCTAAGTTCCCTATTTCAATGGCCGTATATATCAGTTGAATGTAGAGGCCGGGTAAAAAATACTCTTCTCTAAAAAAAATATAAAAAAAATTATATAGAATGTCACATAGGATGTTTGGGCTAGTATAAAAGAACTAATTACAGAATCCAACAGTAAACCGTGAAACGAATTTATTTAGCCTAATTAATTTATCATTAGCAAATGTTAATTGTAGCACCATATTATCAAATCATAGAGCAATTAGGTTTAAAAGAATCGTCTCGTAAATTAATCGCAATCTGTGCAATTAGTTATTTTTTAGCCTATATTTAATATTTCATGCAGGTGTTCAAACGTTCGTTGTGACATAATATAAAATTTTTGTGTGGGAACTAATCAAGGGCATGAGTTGTTTTTTTTCTTGCAGAGCTCCGACGTGCAGATCAGCGGGGTGACGTACACCGACATCCAGGGTTCGTCGGCGTCGCAGGTGGCGGTCAAGTTCGACTGCAGCGCGAGCAAACCCTGCAGCGGGCTCGGCCTGCAGGACATCAAGCTCACGTTCGACGGCGGCAAGCCGGCGGAGGCGACCTGCCAACACGCCGACGGCACGGCCTCCGGTGTCCTCATGCCTCCCAGTTGCCTGTAACGCTTTACCGCCAAATTGGAGAAACAATTCTTGTAAACCGAGTACTCACTATTTACACATGGACGAAGATACAACGGATAGTATAGTGAATTAGTGATATTAACAAGATATTTGATTCGGTCCAACAAAAAACGGATAGTATAGTGAATTAGTGATATTAACAAGATATTTGATTCGGTCCAATAAAAAGTACCTCGACGTACCGGTAGTCCGGTAACTCACAGTACTAGATCCAACGATCGGAAATAATTTGGTACCGTGAGGTCCTGTACCTCGAGGTACTTTTTGTTGGACCGGAGCAAATCTCTATTAAGAAACTTCAACGATTCCAGCTCTAATCAGTAATCGACCAATTGTATTCCCGAATCAAGAAGGTTCAGCATTATTATTCAATAAATCAACTAGGGAATGACAATCAAATTATCGGGTCTGACGACTACTACTCCTAAATGCCTCTTTTTTCCCTATGTTCTTCTCTGCTTCAGTACATCCAGTCATCCGGGGGCCAGATGCCAACCACAAACACTACAAATGTATATACAAGTAATGAATTCTTCACTACAAGAAGTATGTCAGTTGCTCCCGCTTCCTCGACCCGCCTTTGCCGTAGAGCTCATTCCATTCCTTGATCTGATTCATCACAACGCCTTCGCTAGCGAAGCTAGCGGCGACCTGCATAGTGTTCAATGCGCAACAGCTTAGCAATATGTTCTTGCTGTGAAAAGGATAGCTAAGATAAGTACATTGCGTGTGTATCATGAAGAATCCGTCAGTGACTTACTTCATCCTTTGCCTTTCTCAAGTCCTCCATGTTTAGCGGTCTCAGGGTAGTCTCTCCAGCATCGCCTTTGTCTGATTTATCTTTCTTGTCAGCAGGCTTGTCTTTCTTACCTTCCTTGTTGTCAAGCTTGTCCTTTTCAGTCTTACTATCCGAACTTTTTGTCCCGTTTTCTTGAATTTTGGTCTTTTCTTTTGGTTCTTGCTTCGTTTCTGGTGCAGTTTCCTTCTTGACCTGGAGAATCAAAATTGCCATTAGTCACTGTGAGATGATGATTCGCTTTATCAAGCACCCGGTAATGGAGTTTGCAGGTTTCATCAGGGAAAAGTTAAATTATAGTTATCCGTTCCTCTTGGGTCTTACCTTGTTCTTTTCTTTCTGAAGTAGCTCTCTGACAGGATGATAAGCTGCCGTCACGCAAATATTCTGAAGAAAAAAAAGTACAGATTTAATATTTCAGAGAGTGACGACTGAATAAATCTTCTTTATAATACCAAAAGTCCAAAAGCAGTGTACAGACCTTCAAGTCACTGCTGGTGTATCCTTCAGTCATTTTGGCAAGCTCCTTGAAATCAATATTTTCAACCGTCTCTTTCGACAACAATGTCTTCAGAATCAGCTCTCTACTCTCCAACGTTGGGAGGCCGACCATGATTCTATTTAACACAAATGACTCATAAAAAAACTCATCTAGAGAAGCTGAATTTAATCAAATAGAAGTTTAGATACACATAAACGAAACATACCTGTGCTCAAATCTCCTTATCACCGCATCATCAAGGTCAAAGGGCCTGTTCGTTGCAGCAAGGACTAATATCCTTTCGTTGGACTTAGACAAGAGTCCATCCCAGTGAGCCATGAACTCATTTTTTACTCTGCGGGATGCCTCATTTTCGCTATGGTTATCTCGTTTCCCTAGCATGCTGTCTACCTCATCGATGAAAATGATTGCTGGTGCAAGTTTAGCAGCAAGGCTGAATAAGGCTTGGATGCACTTCTCAGACTCCCCGTACCATTTTGATGTCATACTAGCCATAGAGATGTTCAAGAAGCTAGCTCCTGCTGCGTTTGCTAGGGCCTTGGCGAGCATTGTTTTCCCCGTACCAGGTGGCCCAAACAGCAGAACGCCCTTGCATGGCTTCAAGAGACCACCTTTGAAGAAATCAGGTCGTTGAAGAGGAAGCATGACAAGCTCGTGAAGGCATTCTTTGATATCAGCCAGTGCTCCAATGTCATCAAATGTCACTCCTATTTCATTGGCTGGTATAACCGTTGGTCGGATCTTCTTTTCATACTCATTGTCTGGAACGACCTGTAAGTTAAGAATAGCAAAATTTTAAACATGTAATTAAACTAGGAAAATTACTTAATTATAACTTATTGTAGTTGAAACAATGTATTACCATCTCTGTCTCATCCTTTGCTTCCACTGTATCTTTCCCAAGGTCGTTGCTCTCTTGGAATATGCGTAATCCATGGGATAAGCTGTGAAAGTGCCATGTTAGCAAAAGCGAGATAAAGCAACAATGGACCACCTCAAACTCAAAGTAAATTTAGCTAACCTCTCCGAAGATATGACAAGATTCCCGTTTCTGTATTTAGGGTTCTTGTTATTCATCAGATGGTAAGAGACAGATGGGGTTATAATTTCTTCTAAGTAAGCCACAATGATTTTACAATCATCATCTGCATTGATCGAGCTCAAATCTTCACACTCAAGATTGTTTTCTGCGAGCACTTCCGCGATGTAGTTTTGAACGACTTGATTATTGTTATTATTCGAATCTTCCTCCATCTGGGTCTTCCATTTCTCAAGAAGGACCTTGTCTTTGGGAGGCTTTGTCTCCAGAATACAAGGGAAAAGAGCACACACAGATTCTTCAATATCTTCTCTATCCTCATCATCATCGAGGAATTGTGAACCAATCACGATTACCCGTCCAGATAGTTTTTTCAACATTTTCTGAAACATACAGTATGCTTTTTCTGAACTTCCAAGCAAGTCATCAACATCCCTTATGTAAAGAATGACTGGACTGATTTCAGAAGCAGAAACTATAATCTGCAAAAGCCATCCAATATCAGCTTGTACAAATAGGGCACGTAAATTTGGACTATACTGCTGAATAACTGAGTTACCTTGTAAAGGGATTGTATGAGAACCTTCTCATTCAAACTCCAGCATGGTTTAACTGATGCTGCATCAAAAGAGAGGGTGATCTACAGATAGCTAAAAACTAGGCAGGTTAGGATAACTGCAGATTTCAGTTGGAGGAACCCTCATGGGCAGGCACATTTGAATATACAGGTAAATGAGGATGTTGGGTTGTCTGAAACTAGTTGAAGCTGGCAACATATGCATTATACATCTAATGTGCACATGTGCAATTGGGGCATAAATAAACAAGAGAGCATAAAAAAATGGATTTCACTCACCAAGGTATTTAGAAGATTCGGGATCATGGTCCTTCTCGGGAGGTACCAAGGATAACTGAACCCGTACTGAAGGTGTGTTATGAGGACAACAAGTGCTGCAAAAGCAATAGCATAAAATGCTCAGAAAATCAATATCTAATACCTCTAGTTGCATATCCAGGCAGAGATATTACCTAGTCCTGAGATCAAGGATGCCTGTTTCACGGCTCAATGGTCCTACATTAGTGTTTCATGAAGACACAGTCAGAACATCAGAAAAGTTGGAGCATGGGCATCGCTTCAAAATCATGATTGAGAGAAAGAAGGATAAAGCATTGCAGAAAGTAAACAGGCAAAGAAACGGTGAGTGCACAACAGGAAGAAACAGGGTACCTGTTCCAGTTGGTTCTTCCTTCTTGCGAAACAGATTGAAAGCTCCAACCAAACTAGACACTCTATCGAAGGCTGCCTCTGTCATGGATCTCTCACGGGTCTGTGTTATGAACAGATCAGAATTGATTAGGTAAATCATCAGACAAATCCACGCCACTTCACAAAATTGTAACAAATGCTCCTGTTCGAAAAAAACTGCACATTCAGCAACTCTACTAGCTAAATTGTTCAGTGTGGACAGAGTAGACTAGGTTCTATCCTCCTCAAGTACCCCGTTTAAGTTGTGCAGAGGCCGGAATCGTAAAACGCTATTCCATAATCTAAAGAAAAGTACCCATTGTTTCAACAGGGACACCATGTTTTACTTTGACTCATTAAGGAAAAAAAAAAGGCCAAACTGATAAACAGAAATGAAAATCCTGAATTTCCCATGTCGCTTGGTATATCAACCAAATGTGCTATACAAGATGGAACTACCAGTTACCACCTAGAAAAAGAAGGCAGAAATAGGATACAGACCTGTGTATTGCTTGGACCGCCGTACTTATGATGGAGCTGCAATGGCAATCGGGAAAAGAACAGTTTAGGATCATAAGAGGCCAGGGCGACAACAAAGCTAAAATTTCTCAAATTGCATCTAACTGACCTTGCACGCGAAGTCGATGACATCGAGCAGCAGCAGGCGAGCACTGAACTGGTTTGCGAGAGCCTTCGCGAGCGACTGAAGGTACGCCTCTGCAACAGAGAAACAGCGGCTGTGAGAAAAAAAAAAGATCGCGCTTTTGGCGAAAACGAACAACGCACATTGCGGTTCAGGAAGCGGAGGGCGAACCTGATGGGCCGCAGAGCAGTATGGTGCGGCTGGACGCGGAGAGGACGCGGATGTGATTGGGCAGGATCGTTGGGCTCAGATGCACGAACGCCGTGCTGGTGAGGGCCAGCTTCGACTGCTCGCTGCAAGAAAACCATGGGAAACACATGCTCAATTAGCCGCCCTTCACCAAACACCGCATTGATTTCTACTGACGACGCAACGCGTATCCATGGGATCAGTAATTAAATCATGTGATCCTACCCGAAATATACCAGCAAAGTCATAAACTAATCGATAAAGCTACCGGTCAAAATAAGGGAAAAAAAGGTTTGGTTTTTTTTTTCCTTCTCCCACATTGGATTGGGGGGTTTTTGGCTCTGAGGATTCGCATCGACGACGGGACGAACCTGAGGTAGTACGGGAAGTCGTCGAAGGAGACGCCGACGTCGCGGCCGTCCACCACCAGACACCGCAGCTCCGCCTCCACCTCCGCCGCCGTGGCGCCGCCGCCAGTCGCCAACCCGGTCAGCCGCGACGAGACGAGGCCGATGCCGACCCCCACCCCGACGCCCACCCCCACGGCCGACGCGATGATGCTCCCGTGCTCCATGTGTCCTCCTCGTTCCTCCTCCCGCCGCCGCCGCCGCCGCCGACACGACGACCACACCTACGCGGAAGCCGACTTCGACAGCGGCATGCAAAACTTTCAGGGGCGCGGATTCGGTACGGGTGCGATCGAACGGCACAGACACGGAGGGGCGGTATTTATAGAGAGGAGGGTTGGAGAGAGTTCGGGTCGGTCCCGTCGCGTCGCGGCCAGGATCGAGCCGAGCGAGCCCACGGCACGGGGCACGGCGGCGTCACGGGGCAGGAGGGGGTGGTGCCGATTGGGATTGGGACGCCTCGCGGATGCCGATGCCGACGCGGATTTGGCCCAAAAAAAAGAGGGGTGAAATTTCCGGTGCACAAACACCTCTCGGCGGCGGAATCTCGTTGTCGCGGATCGAGTGGCCGATTCCTATTGTTTATTTCTATTATTTCGCTATACTAGATAGACTTGGTCTATGTGTAAAACTCAAGTCTATGTAAAATTCTCCTTTCATCACTAGGGTAAAAGTAGCACCTTTTTTTTCTCCGCCTTGTAACTCCGTCATGCCGTCATTCGATTCCCTCTGGGTTTTTTTTTTCTTTTTAATGCTTTCTGATTTGGCCGAATGTTAACGGTGACAGAATAGTTGTACGCTTTAGCACCACGGCAGATTGGCGAAAGGCGTGTGACACTTGGGCCTTGGGCTGTCAACACCACCAATAGCAGAGACGCGTGGGGGCGGCGGTATTGATGGATGTCATGAGATCATGGTTTTTGCCGAGTTGGGGACCACTAGTTCGCTTCTCGCTTCCTTTTCGAGCGTAACGCAGACAAACGTGCATCACGGCTGGTGTTTGAAGGTTGCGAGATTTCCCTTTCTTGCTATAACGTCTTTGGATGGTTGTATCAAGACTATTATGTGACACTGATTCTTATTCATCGAAAGTTCGAAACTACCGTTGGTTCCACACTTCCACTGTTTAACCACGGCGGGAGCAGGAGCGACCCAGCCCAGAGACAAGTCCCGAGCCAGCCTATGCTAATTTCTCAGGGTAATTCTAGGCAGAGGTATCTTCCTTGTAACTATGAGGGTGTTTGGGAGAGGTACTAATAGTCCCTCTCTCCAAAAAAATAAGTCCCTAGATTTAGTCCCTCTCTCCCAAACACTCTCTATATATCTCAACATGACATGATGAGTAGTCGGACTTCTGATCCTATTCAAAAACATCGGACGGTGTTTCATGGTTTCTTCGAATTGTGTTAGCATCGATGGCAAGGGGTGCTCCCTGTGCACCATCTTTTTCTGAGGCAGACATTGTGTCCCTTTCTTAAGAATCAGTGGACGACATGGCATGATCCACATGGCGGTGGACCCACGACGAGGTCCAATCATAACCATGACTAGTCGAGCGTGTCTGAAGAAGACCACCGAGCAATATGGCGATGCGACCCTTTTGTCACGTCATTGGGCTTACCACCCCTAGACTCTCGATGGTTGAATAGCTAGCTCGCTCAATGGTCTCCCTCAGCCACACCTAGTTAGTCATGGTTATGGTTGGATCTTACCATGGGCCCATTATTTGCGTGGACCACATCGTATGTCAATCACTATTAAAGAGATGCAAATTCTGTCACTCTCAGATAAATAAGAGATGAACATTACATATCTATGCCTGTGAAGCTGACATACACGCTATTTTTTAATCATCTATCGTCATGGATAGCCGCAAACCTATACAATAACCCCTGTGTATGCATGGATGAACTTCATTTCACTTCCGTATTTGTTGATCTAATAATGACACTACAGTTGCCCATGACATCATCATTATTTTTTTTTACCATGCATGACATCACTATTTCACTAAGATGATGTTTAATAGAGCTCCTGGGTGGGTCGGGGGCTTTACCACAGGATGAGGACATGAGAACTGTGGCAAATTACGCCGACAGGATGGGATGGCCACTATGAAGGGAAAAGGTGAGGAGGGCATGGCTAGTGTGCTTCTCGATGTGATTAACGGCTAAGCTAATATAACGTGAATGGCATTTAAGAAGAAATTTTAAAACAGTGGCGACCAGATAAGAATACTACTCCCGATAATATAACAACCTAAAATCAGGTGAAACATTTCAGAGTACAATGAATTTAGTCACGAGCTTGTCAATATTCATTGTATTATAAGGTAGTGTTTGGTTTTGGGACTATGTGGGATGGGATAGAACCATCCCTGATTTTTGAGTTGGGATGATTCCACTTACATGTTTGGTTTGTAGGATGGGATGATCCTAAATTTTTGTTTGGTTGAAGGGACGAGGGGATCAACGATCACCTGATTTGCCCCCACAGTCCTCCCCATCGCCGGAGGAAGAGCAAGAGGAAGAGCTGGCAGCGAGCAAGAGCAAGAGCAGGAAGAGAACCATGGCTTGCTCACCTCCCCATCACCGGATCCGCCGCTGCCCCTCGACCTCCTCCTCGCACTCCGCCGCCGCTCCTCCCTATCGCCGAATCCGCCGCCGCCCTATCGTCGGATCTGCCGCCGCCCCTCAACCTCCTCCTCGCATGCCGCCGCCGCTCCTCCCCATCGCCGAATCCGCCGCCGCAGTCCTCCCCATCGCTGGATCCGTCGCCGCCGCCCTCCCCACCACTGGATCCATCGTCGCCGAGTCCCCCGCCATCGCTGTCGCTGTCGCCCGAGCTGTTTGCCGTTGCTCTCGAGGGCGAGCGCGCGAGTAAGGCGCCGTCACGCCGTTCGCTCGTCCCAGGTGGGACGAGTTCGTCCACCACATTTTCCCGGATCGGTTGGACCCGGATCTGAGAGGAATATTCCTCTCTAGGGACCAACCCATCTTACTCACCCCTCAACCAAACACCCTTAAAAGTGGGTTCGTCCTATCCCATCTCATTATTGCAACTAAACACTACCTAAAATGTTCCATCCGATCCTAAATTGCTATATTATGGGACATAGAGTAGCAACTTTTAGGTCAAAAATAAGAAAGCTTGCCAAGTTTGAGAAGAAAAAGAAAAGATATTTCTCTATTAAATAGTAAAGATAAGAGTTAAATTGTCTCATTAAATTGACTATATTTCAACTGATTAAGTTTTTCTTTGGTGGAACATACCATCTGAATTTAAGTAATAAACTTGATAGTTGACATGAGTACTCGCATTCTGACTTTACCAATCTTAAGACACGGGGTCTAGCACCCTTCCTAGAAAGACCCGAGCTTATTTGGAATGATTTGGGGGGAGGGGGGGAGGGGGGCAAGTAAGGGTAGGGTGTAGTATTCTTCTCTACTCTGCCACTGTTTCTAGCCAATAGAACACATGTGCATACGCATGCGCACATCACACACGCGTGCGCGTGCGCGTGCACGGCAATGATGAGATATGCTAGTGAGCGCCGGTATTAAAGGGTTGTCTCATTTATTACAGGATCTATTAAGGTAAGGTAAGATATGCTAGAGTGTCTGAATTTATACTGATATTTTTAGAAGTAAAAAAGTTGTCTCATTTGTTGCACGATCTATCAATTGTTTAAAGGTTTTCTTTATAGTACTTCCCTAATATATGTCGTTTGAGGTATCACCTATAGAATTTATGGGACCCATCCTTTTGCTTAAGCCAAATGACATATTTGCAAACGAAAATAATGTGTGAATAAAACTTTTATATATATATATATATATATATATATATATATATATATATATATATATATATATATATATATATATGTTTTTAGCAATTTAAAAGCAAAAGCTGAAAAATAAACTTCGATGAGAAAAACCCCAAAATTATATCGTTGATAATTCAAATTTTGACTGATAAGCATAAGCGAAAAGATGAGGTTATGTACTACCATATAATTATTTTCTATAATATATATCTCGTGATTACCAGTTTGTCACTAGAAACATACTTTTATCTCTTAACACGTACTCTCTTCGTCGCATAAGGAATAGGAAAACTTGAAAATGCGTAGTACACTGTGATTATTACTAGTACCTTAGTCCTTATCCGGTCAGAAACACCAACAAAAAGACATATAAAAGAGAGATAAGTGCGATATTCTGCACAAGCCTCCGACGTGGCAGAGCATGCATGTGGAAACCTTTCCGCAAAAGGCTCCGACGATGATGTACAGACGGACTCCAACATTCACCTCCACCATCCAATGAAGTAACAAATGCAACGAAATTTCGCCTGCAATCATCCATGTTCTTCCATCCCAAGTTTACTTGAGGGATCGGAAGACTTCGTTTGTCGTGTAGGTTTCACATGCGTACACATACACCGAATCCCTATCACCTATCATCACCATCACCCCGATGCTATCCTACAGCCGCCCGGTCGTTTACCTCCTCACCTCTCTTGTGCACGCTAACATACAAGTAGCTTGTTTTAATATTACCCGCGACGACCAGAACACGGCGAGTCAGTCAGTCAACGTGATACGGATGCGATTTTCTCCTGTAGTTGAGTAGAAAAGCTAGGAACAGAGACTAAGTTGGGTGTCGTGTGTGGTGGAGTCCACCATGGATCCATGATGCTAGCGCTGCTTGCTAATCCTGCAACGTTTGTTCGGTGCGTGTCCACGGTTGTTGCCCCGTTGGAGCTTAGCTAGTTGGCGACCACTCGATCGACATCCGATCAGGATGATATGTGTCATACGTGGTCCTGCCTGCCCCTGTAAAACCCCATAGCGGCAAGGGCCATCGACCGACCGGCCGCGTCCGCCGTACGTACTACGTTCGTGCGGCCGGCCTGCCGTCTCCGGCAGGAATTCTCCGCCGCGCGTGGCGGGTGCGCACGTACGTACGGGCGCGGCCGCTGGCGTTGGCATATTGGCATGGTCCATCGCGCGGACGAAACCGAGTCTTCGCTACCGTCGCTGTTGCGGTGGGGCTCGTATACAGTTTTGTGCTCGTTTCTCCCTCCGATCGAGTGCACGTTTCCCGAAGCAACGATCGTCTTTCATTTGGTGGTTGTTGTCATGTTGGGCTCGCAAGTGGGGGCGGCTCTGGGAGATTGTGTTCTCTTGGGCTACAATACGCTGGGCCACCATGAAAGGGAGGTCGGTTTTCCGGTATGGATCCGGACCTGGCCTGGCTGGCCCAGCATGTCATATGGTCCATGGCGCGGTGTGTAGTCCAGCGAAAACCATCACCCACCCATCCACCCACCGCACTTAGGGTTAGGGACGCGCGTTTAGTTAAGAGCCATGTCACTAAGGAACGCGTTAATTAATTTGTTGGTGAACGATTGAAAAGCCATAATAACGATTGCGTTCGGAGTTGCGGTTTG